CCGTTGAATTAATATTAGTCGCCTTGTACATCAGCGCTTGAATCTCTTTTCGCCTCTTTTTAGGCGTTAAAGCTTGCCTTGAGACTGTTTTCGTCAGGATAGATAAACTGCAATTCACTAGGATGGAATTGCCTTGATGGGAAGAAATAGGCGGCTACTTATAAATTCCTGTTTTTTATTTTACTGAACCGTCCTCACTTTGCTTCGACCACGTTGGTTGAATGGTAAACGTAGACGGAAAATTTACTTGGCAAAGTGCTTAAAGGGTGCACAAGTTAAGATTTGCTGAAGATGTTGCACAGGAACTTCACAATTTAGCACAAAAGTTCCTTTTCATTAAATTGCTAGACACACCATCATTGCCTTGATTCCGTTGACGCATTTTACATGTGCAAGCAAACTAATGCTGCCTGATTGCCTACCTGCATTCCCTCAGGTGACATGTCATAACGCTCCTTTTTTATTTTAGCATAGATCATATCAGAACCTACATCTCTACTTTGTCTTCTTGTTGATGAATCCAGTCATTTGTGTTTCGTTTGTTTTGATCAAGTTGTCAAACACTATCCTTTTGTAATCAGTATTTCAATCATACAAATAGATTTGTTACAAACCAAAGATGCTATTTTCAGTCTTGAAACCGATGCTCCTAGTGGTAGCGTAAAACCAGAATGTTCACTTGTGTATAATGTTGTCCGGACCATGTTGTTGGTGGTCGCGTCGTGCTCACCCCACCCACCACCCTGACCTGAATTAAATAGCCGGGACAAATTTAGTTGGGCTGTCAAGTCTGCTGCATTCCTTGTAAGACGCTTTACCTTGACTTAATTTATGTGAAGCAAATGCATGAATGAATGAGTTGGTCCAGTTGTTATTCCTCTGAAAATGTTTAGAAGCAGTCTGCAAAGTTGGCTGTGTAATCAAGAAATTGGGGTTTGTGCATGAGAATTTGAATTTTGAGCATCACCATCTGGACAGCTTTTTATGAAACATAAGTGATATTGTAATCAGAGTACTAGGAAGCTATAGCGCCCCCTTTTATGTCCTTTGTGGCTACCTCCTTCAACCAATTAATTTTTAGGATCTCGGCCTTAGTAAGAGGCATCTCATTTGTGCTAGGAAAACAAATTAATCTACTAGTGGATTCACGGCATGACTCTGCTATTTAGGTACTACATTTTCAAAATAACCTCCTTTTTCAGTAAAAGTACTTCTTTAATAAGTTAATAGAATATACCTGCAGGACAATTGCTGGTTGTGCATGGTTCCGTTGCTTAAATAGGCGAGTAAAATGTTTAATTTTGCGTTTCGTCTAGGAGGGTGGCAAAAGCAGCGAGGGGTAAAACAGAAACGACAATAAGAAATGGGAAAGCACAACCCTTTTAGCAGTTATAAGAAGCTTTCTTTAATTAACGCCTTGGAGATAGTTTTTATAAAGACATCATGACCCCTCCCTTCCAACCTTTATCACCGTCTTGTCCTCTGCTTTTTCTCTGTCTGGTGCAGATGGCAGCCACACAGCAACTTATGTGGCTGACAGTTAGGCTAATGGGCGTACAATTAGAAAGCTCAGCAGCTTTTCGCAAGAGTGTATGCGCGTAAGACGTGTGGGGACACTTAATTTGGTGATACTGACAAGTCACTGGTGCCTCCTTTTGTGTTATACACGATGTGCTGTATTTGATGCACCTATCTGCAGCTTATTACTCCACCGGAAATAGTCTATCATTGTACAATCACCGTTTACGCAGTCACCATAATTTAATGCAAGCAGTCCATTGTTTGATTTCCCTGCATGGGTATTATTTTTCATATTCCTTGCTCGGGTCATCTGTAAAGTAGACACCGTATACTTTATTTCAGTCTGACATGCTCGTGACAAGTTGTACACTTTTGGCTAAACACAAGGCAAAACAAAGTAACTGACACCATTGATTTCATTTGTAGCAATGATTTGGTCAAGGTGCGAACAAGCAGCTAGCACTGATAACCAGTTTTAAGGTACGTCATTTTTCGTAAAACATCGTGAGAGTAAATTAGAAATGCACAGAGCTGGTTAAGGGGGTGTGGGTTTTACTAAAATATTTGCAAAATGGACTTGCAAGATGAGTAAGCTACTTCAAATCTAATAATTCTTACTAAAGGGATTTCGTTTAACAGAAAATATGTTTAAAATTTTCCATGCTTTAACAATAAATAACCACTGGTTAAAGATGACTCTTTCGCCTGCACTTAAAAAGCAGTTTGATCGCAAATAGGCGGTTTACGCACACGTCCTATTAAAAGAATGATCCACGCTTAAGACATTTAAACTACGATCCAACAAACCGGCATTGCAAGAGTTGGTTTTAAATACCTAAAGTGTTCATTCTAAACACATCTTTAAAGAGTATATTGGCGTGTTCGGTTATGCGCTTACTGCCACAGCCACTCACTTTTATTTTGCTGGTACATAATCAGTTCGCTTTGCTATAAAATAAATAAGCAAATTTGTAAACATTTAGTTTTCTAGGCGAATAAGAAAGACGAATCCATCTATCTTCCTAAACCAAACATCTATCAAACTCATAAATCCAAATTTGCCAGAATGAAAAGCAAGTGGAGTAACAGAGTAGGAGTAAGGTTGTGCGTGTCTAGATGTGGACTGCCGTTCGAATCGAGTGCTGCCTGTTGACTAAAATTAAGGAGTTTGCAGGATGCACAGTCCTAGACTTCATCTGTGAATTGGAAATGGGCAGCTACTGTTGGTACGCTTCATAAAAAACTAGCAACTCTAAAGGATTTCCTGCACAATACTGCTCAGTAAAATAGTCGAAGGTAGCTTCTATGTTTTAAGCCTAGTGCGAAGAATTTGACATATAGACATCTTTTGTACTTATACAGACTTTCTATTTAAAGAATCCAGTGAGACATTCAACCTTTACACACTCCGTGTTATCACCTTTGCTTTCTTCAACAGTGTATTCTATTTGGCTTCTGATCACAGGGTTACACGTTCTCAGCTAATAGTAGTATACTTTAACCATAACTTTGAGACCAATCGTCCATTTAAGATCAGAAATGAGAATAAAGAGAAGAATAATATGCTATATCCTATCCTCCTATCCTGCTTTATGTGTGTATAATTTCATAAACCACATTTAACACCTGGTTTAATAGTATTGTGCCAAATGTGGCAGAATTTGAATCCACCATAAAGGGGAAAATAATAATCATTACTAATTTCAGAAGAAAAAAGGTTTGAGAAATCCCAACGTGCTTTGTATTACTCCATTGGCAATGCGTTTTCTTTAATTTAAATCGTAACAATGCGGAATTGCTACTTCTGCCAAGGTGAAGCTCACTGCATTGGATCGATCCCAGTTGGAAGGAGCTCAAAGACCGCATTTCCACCTTGCGGTGGAAAAACAATACGCCAACATTTGCATCTTGAACAACAATATAAGCATCTTTGCAGATCGTGTTGCTCAGCTATCTTTTTAATCCTTGCACAAACTCACATGCCCTTTTTGCTAATCCCGAGGAAGCTTTTGGTGGTACGCCACTTGAAACTAATATATTGAAAATTAACCACTTTAAAGAGTCAAGCTTTTGTAAACACTAAACTCCAGTGGACCTGCAGGGTTCTACAATTAAAAAAAGGGCACTAACAAAACCATGCTTCCTGCAAATCATACCGGTGGTCCCAATTTCACTATTTGGGTGCGCGTGTGCCGTGTAAAATGCCATTTAACTCTGCCCGATGAAATGAATACCACCACAAATAGTGCCTTTTAGACTGCAATCTGCGCTGAGTTGGATTCGTGAAGAAATAAGTACTACAGTTTTCTACTGTTGCCCTTGTCTATCAGCCTCCTCTCCACTGTGACAGGCACGCAAAAGCAAAAGCTGAGATAGCTTACTATGCAAAGTATCTGGCACTATGATCTCTATCCTTTGGAGGCCCAATCAAGGCAATTTAGATTGCATTACTATCTAGGATGGAGGATCTCCTTCAAGATATAACAAGCAACTATGTTATTTGATATTAGTGCGGATTTCCTACGCATGTACATAGACTTTGTATATCTACTCTCTTCCATATGGGTAGACAGGGGTCAAAGGAAAACCTAGTCAGATTCCTCTTGTATGTGGGCGTAGGCATATGGACGAGTGGCTATCTGAGTGAAGTATGGAGAAGAAGGGAATTGTTGAACTCAATGGTACACTACAATTGTCATCAACAATATGCTACTCAGCACAGGAGAGGATCGATCGGCACGGCCTACATTAGAGATGAATGCTTCCTAAGCTTTGTTTAGGTGTGATCCAGTCAAATAAGATGCAGTTTTTGGTCTGAGACTGCAGGAGGAATGGCAGAATCAGTAGCAGAAGGCGTTAGCGGTAGCGGGCGAATCAGATGTGCAAAGCGGTTAGTAGGCTGCTGTGTAGCCAATAGGGCGCGTGCCTCAGTGTGATGGGCGGTGGCTATAAGAAGGGGCGGTGAGTCACGCGTTGATATCACGCTTAAAACGGTTGGATGGTTACTTGGAGAAGGGGACAATGATTGGCAGAGGCAAAGGAGGCAAATCGCCGGCCAAAGCGAGGACGAGGTCAGCGCGAGTAGGTCTGCAGTTCCCCACGGGTTGTGTTTAAAAACGACATAGAGCAGTTTTTTAAGGTCATAGTAAGAGACTAATCCTAAAACCATTATTTTGTTCAACTAACGCACAGGTCATTATAGTGCTTCCGCAGAAGTTTAGAATTCCCAGAATTATAAGTCCATCTCATAACGGTTTAATATATTAGGTCTAATGATGATTCAGGAAGACGAATTCAATTGAAAGGAAAATTAAAATATGGGTGACAAAGTTATTTTGTGAGTGGGTCGATAGGTTCTTTATCTGAAATTAAAACACATTTTTCACTATTAACAAATGCCTTTCCACTATCCTTTAGGAAATTCTACCACTTACACCTTCACCATGATGTTGTTTGTGCTAGCAGCATTCAAGATTCCAATATTTGACATTCATTCCATGGATTCTAAGGATTTCTGCTCATGATGCAAAAGTGTATTTATTTAAAACCGAACTTTATGCGAGTTAGTTGACTATGATTGAGGTAGCATAGTTTTAAAATAGCAACACGGTTGAAAATCGTCATCCCTGCTGATGTCATTGTCACTGTAATTGCATTGCTCTGTTTGCGGCAATTCCGCAAAGTACATCTCACGATTGAAGCATCACAAAATACCTTTTATTGCTTTAAAAAGCCGTTTGGGTTGATGCCATACCAGAGGCATATTTATGCTACTCCGTCGTATTACAAGGCGTTATTTTTGGTTACAAATAGCACTGGGATGCACTCTGCCCACCCCTTTACTGAGGCACTTTCTAGGCATAAAACATAACCCTTTTCTGATTTACCACGACCTGTGCTGACCTATTTATCTTGCATATTTATATGAATTTTGTTGTTCCAAAATACACTCCTATGCCTACACTTATTAGGCAATTGACATGCAAGTGCATGTGCGTCATTAGCGTTTGGAGATTTAGAAAATAAACAAACTTTGTAAATACTGTTGCGACTTATACATACACTTTGATGACCACCATCAGTTGGTACACCGGAATACTAATGAAGCCAAGTACTAAAATTCCCGTAAGAAAGATAGTCCTGGACAAAGCTTTACACAAGATATACGCCATCATGACATAGACACGTCTCTTGCCCTGCACCAGATGAAATATTGCAAAAGCCAGGTTATTCAGTTTGCTTTTTCGTATGTTCCACGCGTTTCGCTATAAGCAGGCTAAAAGGAGTGATGGGTAATAAATAATTGCAGCAGTCATTAATAGTAAATTGCAAAGTGCAGTACCTCCAAAGCACTAATTTCGCAAAAACAACTCGCTGTGTAGTATTATGTGGTGATTTAGTATCAGTGCTAATACCATTAAACAGCCAAACATTTAACTAATTTGCAACATAATTACCGAAGCATAACTTAGGGATAATGAACCTTGACTTAGAGTGTTCTCCTAAAATTTCTGTGTTGGTTATCACATTTCCAGTTATTTATCATTTGTCGAATTAGATTTAAATCATTAAAACCGGCCATAATGTGCTTTGCAGACAAAAAATATCTCTCAAAAGTAGTAGAACTGAGTTAATGGCAGTGCTTAAATTTATTTATCTTCATTTTGGTGCCGGTTCATGCACACCGATCCACGTCAAGTCAACTTTATTTTGAAAAAGACATCTTTTAATGAAATTACATTTACCATATGCCCATTATTACGCACCCCGATTTAGAGGCTTTTTACTGAAGTAGTCATTTTGGCATTGTATTTCAATTTAAGTTCGGTTGGTAGTCCGATTTATTGACATAAAAGACAAGGCTACAAATAACAGCCAGTGAACTCCCAAATTATAAACCTAGTGGATTTTAGGGCTTTTGGAATTAACAATTCTATACGAGATGCATATTGTTAAAAGCAGTGAGGTGACGTGATGGGAATATCGTGCCAGTGCATTTAGCTTCACGTCGGTGATCCATATTTAAGTGAGTTATCATTTTGGTGCAACAAATGTAATGTTATAAATTAGCTGAGATTGGAAGGGGGCTTGATGTTGTGTCGATCTTGTTAAGGGATGGAGGACAGCTGTTTGCTAATAGAATGGATAAAAGAGTAATAGGTTTAAGCTTGCAGGGCAAAATTTGCACCCTTTTAAACAGCTTAGTGTGGTTTACACGCAAAAGGACTTTATTTTATCCATTGTAATTCAACTAAATATCATTGTCAATCCACCTAACCAACCCACGAGATAGAGGACAGAATAATAACTAGAGAAACAATTAACACAGCTGCCATTAGAGATGCCAGAAACGGAAAATACAGCAAAGCATCGAACTGTCATCGCGGTTGCCGTAATAACCAAACCAAATGCCAATATCACTATCGCACACCAACAGCAGAAGCAATAAAGGCACCCATCAATGCAACGAGCATTTCCTTGATGGCCTGTCTTGCGCCGACTACCGTGGCTTCTGCTATCGGGTTGTTACAGCCTATGTCACCAATGGTCATAGCTGGTAGTTTTCACGTTGACTAGTGGCCCGGATCCTATTGAGACAACGGAGTTGTCCCTCTTGACATTGGTAAGCCAACTTAGGGACGCGACGTGCATGTATGAGCCTAGCGTAGCGGTCGACTAGTGCAGACTGCTCGAAGATGCATCAGAGCATTAACCACTCGATCGGCTTAGCTAAGCTTACTTGTAGTGGCTGGTTGACATTGGACCTACACTGAAAGCTAGTGTAATTAAAGTGCAGTCAACCCATCTTGCCCACTCAGAAAGGTAATGGAATGTTTGTGAATAAACCACAAAATTTGTGCTGCAAAATACATTTAAACTTTGTTGAATTATGAATTAGCAAGCATTCAAACTGTCCTCACTCCGAATCTGTTATAATCCTGACATGTGACTACTTCCTTCAATGCTTTAAAATGAGGTGATGTGTTTGGCAGCAAATCAGAAATTAGGCTGAGTTTCTCCCCTGATTCCAAAGGGTCAAACTCTCAGGAACATTTTATCTCGATAATTGTCCACAATGAATGGCCCTGTTACACATCAATATTCTGCTGAAGGCTACAATAGTGTGAAAGTAAGTGCAGGTCACAGAAATAGCTAAGTGCTCTTCCTGACCATAAGTGTAGCAGGTTGGAAAAAGAATAAACGATGACACGAATAAGACCATGCGTAAATTATTTCACACATGCAGTGATCTTAGTTAAACATGCCAAAATTGAGGCATATTTCTGTTATTGACAATGTACAACTTGTTGCCATTTTACTACTGTCCGGAAAATTTAAGAAGTCGCCTCCACAACAAATGGCTGTCGTCATTCATCCCATTTGTGCCGCATAGAAGATTCTACCATTAACATCGCATTAAAACTGGTTATTTACAATCCATCTGCAGTTCCGTGTTATAGATTTATGTATTAAGGACCAAGTCATACATTCATGAGAGAGGTTTCTACGCTGATGAATCACAGGTAAAGAGTTAAATGAATACAGGCCAAGTACCTGTCTGCACTTAAGTGAGCTGTAGCTTCAGCAACACTTTTAGAAATTCCAAATTAACTAAGATTTAAGGGAAGTTCTTATGGGATGATGAACCTTTGCTTGCCAGTTATATTTGGTGAAATAGATTAATTTAGGCAAGCTGCTCCATGCAACTGCCTGTTTAAAACTACAGGAATAAAAGCAGCTGTAATGCAGGTTTTTCCAAACCACATAAATTTTGCAAAAAACACCCTTGAGTCAACGCAATTGAATTGACCCTGTTAATATGTAGTATCTTCACTGAGTTTATTGTGGTAGTTGTTTTGGCTCTTGCATAGGACCGCGCCCCTATTTATGCTATTGGAAAGTCCGTATTTGTTAAAACAGGTTGCTGGATTTCACGGTTAGAACTTTTCAAGCCGCACTGGTTAGTGTTCTTTTGAGGTCGCAGGAAATAATGTCTTGAGCCACATTGATTCCATCAAAGTTATCTTCTGGATGTAAGAGGACTGGCAAAATATCAATCGAAACTGCACTAGAGTGGAAATAACTATGGTCTCCCAAATGTGGCAGAATGCATATTAATCCTTTGCCGAAAATCTAAACTTCATCATTTAATTCCCTAAACATTCTTTATTACAGTCAGTGTGTATTGCATTCCCTGTTTTATCCATACTGCATATTTCGCTGCTCACCATCATTGCAATTTAGCCCTTTGAAAAATGTCAGTCGATTGAGGGAAATTTGTTTTGTTGTCAGACAGAAGTCAGACCTTGCATTGAATTCTGTCTTAGCTAAAATTGTCAGAATGGCAATGTACTTCAAAGCTTCATGGCACCAATACTGCAACGGGTTCAGAGATTCTCCCTTCCACATCTCCATTCATGTCCTCGAAACCAGAAGAATGATTAGAGAAGAATATAATCTATGTGTGTCGTAAATGTTTGCAGGCAACAACACTAAAGGGGTTCAGAGTCCTTTGCCCCTTTTAAAGATTAGCCGTGACTGCTCTCTAACTCATAGGTACATTCAAACCGATTATCTGCTCATAAAGGGAAATGCATAATTCCGAATTCGATGATGGCCATTCTTGTGCCAAATTTGCTTAAATATTCGTGTTATAACTTTCACAATTTACATTTCGACACTAAGTTCTCAGCTATTTATAAAATTTTGAAATTTAAGAGATTTGGTTGAGATTAGAGATTCTTCCTAAAAAAAATTGGACTTAAATGTGCTAATTCGGCTCCCTTTGCGTAGCTCCTTCTTGTATTACACCAAATTGGTTTTTATAAGACAAAGTTGACGTTACAACTGCATTATTATCAATATGGCCTCATTATCACAAGACGCAATATGAATCGCTCTTCTATTTGTCGATGCTTGTTTCTACCTCCAATCCTGGGTACGATGTGACCGTTGGTAGCACCACATATATGACAGTGGTTTTCTTGCAAGCACTAGAGTGGATACAATGAATGGTTAGTTATGGAAAGAGCACTTGCTCTCACTTTGAAAAGAAAACGGTGTACATAAATTCATACACTGCTAAATGTAGCCTTATGCATTAGTATCCACTACAATACTCAAAGAAACTTCAAGTGGTCCTTGAAATCGACTAACCTAAATTGTAGGTACATGATATTTTGCAATGGGTAATAGTGTAGTTAACTGGGTAACTAGAGGGCATTTGGACAGACGTTTTCACATGTATATTTGGCTACATATTCTGAGATGTTTTAGTTGTAGTTTGCAATCGTTGCTTGCATGAGCAAAAGTGCAATGTTCGAATATCACTTAGTAAAAGCGTAAACACCTGAGGAACAAACTGGAAGTCATTGCCAGATGGGTGACACATATTGGAAGTAATTTGACTTTATTGTGTTTTACAACCGTGCCCACCCAAGTCCTCACTATTACCATGGGAGGCAATTCACCCGAGTTCCTTCTAATTTACTTTTGTCCCTATAAATACTCTTGACTGTATAAAAGGCAGCTGAATACTGCCATCTGCTGCCTTCCAGCTCTTTTTATTATTTAACAAATGATACCCAAAATATCTGGTGTTTCAGTGCATTGCTGACGTAATTATTCCAATTATTCTAAGAGCAAACAAGCAAACTGTGAAAATCCAAAATGGAAAGCTTTGATCTCCATGTTGTCATTTTTTCTTAATTTAATGTACGATACTTAATCAACGCCTTTGGAACATCTTAAGATGCAGGTGCAACCTAGCAGGTAGACGCACTTTTGGGCGGCTGCACGTCGTAGGTCATTTGTATTTTTTTAAATTCATCTCAAACTCGATGAAATACTGTAAATGAAATACGTGTAATTTGCAGCTGGCCACTTTAGGCAGAAATTTTATGAGATAATCCACATTACGTTCTGCTTCCCAGTCATGCCTTCAGAGCATTCAAATCAGTTTTAAATTTTTTTAGTAACATTTGTCTTCATCGAAACCATTCTAGTGCCATTAAGGTTGGCACATCAAGGTGGCAATCATGCAACCTACTAAAAATTACTTCATTTTAAATTTGTTTTGTTCTTTTATTTGCACATTGCTAGTAGGAGAGCGAAAAGTGTTAAATACCATCAATGGAAATATTGCAGCTTCAAAGGCACCACCATCAAATTGCAACATGTTAAATCCTGCACACAACTTGCTGCTGACCTATTTTTCTTCTTTTTATGTTATAGTTCTAATCCTTTGATTTTGTACTTATGCAAAAGTGAATGCATGGCTTGGGCAGTACTTTAACCACAGTAGTGCAGAATCGGTCAAGCATGTGTCTAAAAACAACTATTCATTATACCTTTACTGATACCAGTTACTATGGCCGTGGGCGCAGGTGACGCGCAGTGGCTCTCCCCTATTCATTTCCTCCCTAACTTTAACCCTACTTTGAATCCCTTTGAAACCAGTATTGATGGCATTGCCAATGATTGAGTTTCTCACGACTCAACTCATCACATTATTTTCAAGCCGCGCAGTCAAGCAACCAAAATTCCAATGCATTTCCACTCGCATTTTGATATGCTTGTGATGAAACCTATCATTAAAATTTTGTAAAATGGTTGCTTGAAATAACACTGCCATGGCATTTCTGCGGGAATAATTGTTGGATGTTTAGCTTGATCCCCACTACAGTATGTGATAGCATGGCGTACTTAAAAGAAGTCATTCAATGCGCGTTTGGATGCAAAGTATAATTTTGGCATCCTTTGATATGCTGCTAGATAGATCCCCCTTTCCGTTTATTTTGCTTAAACAAACCTTCCATTTGAAGTAGTTATCTGACTGACTTCGGATGAGAGGTCAATCAAAGTAGGTGAAGCAAATGTACAATCTCCCTTTAGCAATCGTAACGATGAAAATTGAAACCATCTGAGGAATTAAATTGTCTTGTTGTCAAATTAGGAATGATGGGTGAGTTGAGGTCCGTCATTTAATTTAAATAGCCTAATTTTCGGTGGACGCTGGTAGCGTAGGCAGTGGTAAACTAAACCACAGTCTATTTCACTCGTACTGTTTAATCCGTTTAGTGACTTACAATAGGAGAAAACGGCAGTAAGTCACGAATGCACACGTCATTGTGGTAATGCCCACCCACACTTTTGTTATAGTGGTTGGGCATTTTCATTAAATTACCATTTAATTACACCACTGCCTTAGTACCCATAGGCTTTCGTCTCGTTTCGCAACACGTCTCGGTTTGAGGCTGATGGCCTAACAACCTGTGATTGGTACACAAAATGCTCTCCTTGACGAGTACCATCTACTCATTAGCAGTAGGAATCCTGCACACTTCCTTTTTCTACTATGCATTTTGCACAGGTGACGCAAATGCAGATATAACTAGACATTACACAGCACACGCTCTCTTTTAGTTTCGTCTCTTGCTTGCTCATGTTGCGCGATTCACGTGCGGCCGTAGTTTTAGCAGCAGAAGCTAATACCATTCAAATTCGTGTGACAATCACATCTAGGTGTCATCCATTGTCACTACCTCAACAATGCTTTTCCACCCTGTGGATGGCTTTCTCCAATACGAATGAAGTGTGGATACACGCCACTATTTTACATGGAAGTGCTAAATCGCCTTACAGTAAACAAAGGTGTTTCTACTCCTGCATTGTGTTCCTTAATTTGTCTAAACCGGATTTAAGAAGCCATTGACACAGAGGCAGAGCGAATGGGAGAGAATGTACAGTGAAATAAGGTGCAGTGGGAACTACTTTTATATTGTGCTAGTCATTATTTTTTTGGCAAAGAGGTTGAGCTTGACTTCAGCATGGCACATAATATTTGCAAATTTTATGAACAATTTCTAGTGCTAATAATGGTGCTTGCAAATGGGTAGTAACAAAGGGCAAATGAATTTGCTGACGAGGCGGGAGTCACGTTGGCAGAGACGCAGAGGTAGGCATGCAAATGGGCGTAGGAGGAGCTGGTGTGCTCCTGTTTTATGGCTTCGTTGCCCCTGTGATGGCCTACAGTTTACCTCATATGTCATGTCAGTACGATGCTCAGATGGATACGAGTCCTGGACGTCCGCTGTACGGAAGGTGTATATTCTACCACTGAGTAAACGAAATTTCAGAGAGAATGGGAAGCACACGCGAAATCATTCGGCGTCTTGTATTATTTAGGCCAGTGTGATGTCTTGTCCTAAGAATTACGCAATTTACAATTTTGAAACAACGACCTTTAGATAGCACTGGAGACCATTGTTGTTGCTAACGCGGACCATCGCATGTCCCAATAAATAGGACAGACGCGGCATCCGGCCACACCCACTCTCTCACTTAACGCGTAATTAAAATGTGAAAAAAGTTAGGGAAATTTTCACTGCATGCATAAGTTTTGCCTTTAAAAAATCATCTTAATGCTCAACTAGCTGCATTTGGTTTTGTTAGTAAGGAGCATCGTCAGGAGTATGACCCATCATGTGGCCTCTAAAGCTTCGTATTTCCAAATCAATTTCAACAGTTATGCGGAAAGCGCCTTCTTCAAATTGACTTTTTAAATCTATATAAAAAAACCAAGAATATTTTGTGGATGTTTTGAAACCGAATCGAACATCCGTCGCGATAAGTGCATTGAACTGACGGAACTCCTCCGAGGATGAGGAAATTTCGAGTTCAGTGTCCTTTACAATTTACTAGAGAAAAAGCGAGCTTAGCGCAATGAGAATCAGAAAACTTGCAGCATTTATTTTTAAGAAAATATTGCAATAGGCCACACGGGATTATTTATTCTTAGCAGAAGAAGGAAATTGCTGCTCAATAGTAGTCGATGAAGTTTTGCTAACATGGTCGTTATCAATATTTCTTCGGCTTTTTTACATATCCAAGGGAAAGTGGAGGAAGCTTCAGGTTTTAATGTTTTAATAAGTACGTGGAAGACATGACCACTAAGAATGACAAGATTGGCGTGTTGGTAGTACGTCGTGGAACACTGACCAAGAAAGGGAAGCAGCCGTATCATCGGCTTTTCCTCAGTTAGATACTTTTATTAGGATTAAAACTAAGAGCTTAGCACTGCAAGGTCGAAATTAAAAAGTATTGCTAAAACTAGCATTATTATTGTCATATAATCCATTATTGCCAGCATTTTTTGGGATCTCACAGCTAAATTGTTACTCTTCAAGAAAAAAATATGCAATCATTTTGCAGAACAAGCTACCATATTATGCAAGTGAGATAGATTGGTACCCTTCCACTTCCTTAGTTGTATCAGAATGCCAAGCCAAACGACCACTCAAAATGTCTATTGAATGTGGAAGCATTTTATCAAAATTCTTCCATCACACACGTTTCAAGGGTCATTGTTCTGTGTGCCGGCAGAATTTGATGGCGACCGATGTTAGTCTTGCTTACAGTCGCCAGCTTCCCGGTAGAGATGCCGAGATCACCTCGGTTGATGCTGCTCCAGCAGCGGTGTATCGCAACAAACATAGACACAAATTTAATAGATTGTGCCACACAAAGTTCGTATAGCATACACAAAGGCCAGTAGCTTGTTTGTTCCTCACATCAACTTTTGAAACAAGAAGTTTGAGGGTCAATATCCTACAGTACTGATGCCGAATTATGGACTTCCGACTTGCCTCTGCTTTGATGTAACAGGTGACGTGATGCATTGTTAGCGCAACTAGGATTGCGTTTAACCCGCATTAGGTGTGAGATGCTTTGCAAAGTTACAAGGTATTGCTGGGTTGGAATTGGAGCACGGACACAGAAGGCGTTTGGTAGACCACGACTGCGCAATCATGGATGCTAATTATACGATAAGTTAACACACTAGTGACTCCAACCGCTAGCCTTGGCATTAGTTGTACAGTATACAAAAAAATTATTAATATTAGTCTTTTGAATTGCAGAATTAGGAAGTGAATTATGGCTTGCCTTCAATGTTACATATATACCTACATGCGAGCGACACTTGTATGCGTTGTTTTGGATGCGGCAAATATGAAAAGCAGAGTAGGTTGTGGACGAGGATCTAAATAAAATTATCCGCATTTCCCGATGAGTAAGGGTTAAGACGAGCATTTAGCGCAGATGTACTTGGGAATTGGAGGACTCCTGTTGAAGCTGCAGCTAGCATGTCCACCTTATGATAGCAAGTCATCTAGATTGGGTACCATTGCATGATTGGTGGCTCATTTGAGGCCCTTTGTGGTTTGAACCCATCAGCCAGTGTAGGTTAGTGTGGGAAAGCATTCGCAAAAAAGGGGCACCTAGCGAATGGCAGGAGGAATTCTACCAGGAAATGCAGAACTCGCTTGAACTGGCAGGCACAAAAATGAAGCTTCTCTGGAATAACAAGTCCCAAAACAAAAATTCCAAGTGTTAGAGTTTAGGATTTATCAATGCCTCTGATAATATTTTTTGCTTCCACTTTGTTATCATTACCAACTTTTACATTGCAAGAGGTCTTGGTTGCTGGTCCTCGATATATCGGTGGTGAGCCGCATGACGTTGTGGATGTTTGAAGTGAGCAGCAGTAGGTCAGGGAGTCCATTCGCTGCCATTACGCCAACCAGTGGAATTTGAAGGCTCCTGCACCAATTTGCGTGTTGATATAAATATATTGAGACAGGTGCATACCCAAAATGCGTGATTGAGGAGATGGATTGGAAATGGAATTGTTTGCTATTTGCAGCAGATACAGTTAGTTAGGTGAAGGTATACTTGTGGGTCTTTCCCGTTCTAACTCACTTGATGATTTATACGCATTTCGTTAAATCGCCTCAAAGCAAACCGATGAGACTGTGAACTGGAAGATATTACGCACGCAAATTCACTCATGAAGTGTTTTGCGTAGTCGAGTAGTCGTGCTAAACGAGCTGTTGCACACCCAACAGGGAATGTATGCGTCTTTATTTTATTACCTAACATCACGAGAAATCAACGCATCGAGTGAAAATTGGAACCTATGGGCCAGGTAGAGAAGCGACATTGAGGCACATACCCACCCATTCAGTGTCCCTTATCAAGATTTTTGTATTCATTTGTGTTGGTGATGGTCTTCTCGCACTTCCAGTGCTTCGGTGCATACGCGAAATATAGAGGTGATGCTGGCAGCCACCAACTTGTGTGTATGCCTGCACGTGCACCATATCATTGACAAAGAAGAATAACACATTACGTCAAATTGGAAATTTTGGGATAAGTGAGGGGTTAGAGCCTACTGAACGAAGACCAACAGAGTATTCAATCGAGATGAACACATAAGATCACTGTATTAATCTTGAGAATTGCTGGGTGCTTGCTGGATGCAAATGTCCCCTGAGAATGGGCTCGTCGGAAAATTTGATGTATGACAAACAGTCCGGCAGCCCAATGTCAATTTCTTGTGGCTAGAAAGATGAAATGTGCCAATGTCTCATTGAATAGCCGTGTGGGTACACTTTGTGGTGAAATTTCTGATCATGGATGTTAAGTTGGTACAGTTATGGGATGATCGGTAGCCACACTACTGATAAATTAACTGAGGGCCGTCATCGTGGGTTGCATGGTCTCACAACCCATCAGCACAAATAAAATCATATCGGCAGTGAGAGTTATGCATTGATGGCATTAATGAGGAATGCAGAGTAACCATGCCTGCATGCTCGGTACTCACCACTACAAATATAAATATGATACATGTGGTTCTAATAAAAATAAATATTTTCTGAGCTGAAATTATTAACTGTAGCTCATATGCATGTGAGCTTGTCAAATTATGATAGATAATTTTAGGTGGATTACATCCAAAACCATTAAATATAAGCTTAACCCAATTGACGGGTGGATGCACAAAGGCAGAGGTGTTTGACGAAGCAAATAAGCTCTTCAAATAAACCACAGCTTTTTTAACAAATTCGCAAATTATCGGCTGGATGATCAAAAGATGGACTAGTCGGTCTCCTTTCCTAACTTTGGATCTTGCCATATATTTACTAATAGTTTTGTCACATTAAAGAAAATTTGAGACAAGTAATCCTATTTCTTTACTCAAACCCCAAATGTGTCGCTTTTGCAGATTAAATGCTGGTCATATGCTTAATGCGAAAAGTTCTATCTGCTGCGTGTAGAAATAATTAGTATTTTTGATTTCTCATCTTTATGCTCAGATGCAAGCATTTACCACGGTGTTTTGGCATTTTCCTCCTTTAATCGTCTATTCATTTGAATAATCAACTCATGCTTAATGTGTGGAAAAACAATATCAGCAATAATACCACTGATATTTACGGTGTTTCCGAATTATATTCACATGCACCGCACTTTTAAATTAAACAGGTAAAAGGTTTGATTTCCAGCACTTTTGAAATTTCTTAGAATTAAATATGCTGTAATTTTTTAAGATGGTGCAGAAGTAGGCACAGATCAAACCAACTTGCCACTAAAATTCGGACTCAAAGCCTATTTATTACACGACACATTTTATTGATCAGCAATACATACGAATTTTAAATGAATTTTTAGGGTAATGAGACACTCTGTAGTGCAACTTTGCTCAACGTAAGTCATCCTTAAAGTGTAATTCATAATTGCTTTAGCTTACAACCCTCTAAATAAAGTTGATTTGCGCCATTTTTACCAAAATTTGTAGGCGCGCACTGCAGGCAGATTGATTAAAACAAATTCGTCAGTCAAGTGTTCAGTTAAGTTTAGTAGGAACCGTAATAACCATCGGTTTGTGAAAATAATGACTCAGTACTCAGCTTTGACTTATGCATTACCCAACTGCCCGCATTTCTCCTTGATCGTGACAGAAAATAGTCCCACAGTTATCCTTTATATCGGCAGTTCATAGAGATCAAATGGAACATAAAGCAGAATTTGGTAGCCCAACTTGCAGAAATGCCAATCGCATATTACTATGATGGCTTTTTGCATTAGTTAAGAAGCGCTATCTTAGAAATATTTTCGTAAAGTAATATTAATTACAAATGGTCAAATTTTATCAAGTGGTTTCTTTTTCGACTTCTTACAACTGTTTAAACATGATCTTTGTGTTTCTTTACCTGCTTACCAATAACCCTTTTATAAAGACCACTTTTGCCGCAGCGAAATTCACATATATGACTTAATTGTATTTGTGTCATACTTACTAAAATAGCTGTTAAAATTTGAACTCCGTGATTGTGTTAATTTTAGAGTTGAACAAATGCGAAACCACTGAAAAAAATTATTCAAGTAAAGCAATTTACCTTGACATCATTTTAGGATAATGCTTGATTATAGAAGTAGCTTATGCAAAATAGATTGAACCTCATAACAGTCTTGCTACTGCAGCATAATCCTTTGGTTGAGTAAGTGCTGAACGTTATTCAGAAGTAGGGAATTGTCGCTAATAGAAAGTGGATACTAGAAAAGGAGACCCACCTAAATTTAAGCATAAAGTGAGTTGGATAAGAACCCCAATTTTTAGCAACAAGACCACAAGTAGATTTTGAGTTGTTATTTATTAAAGCATTGTCACCTGATAATTCCACTTGAGTTCAATTAGCATTGATATAAGTCTCATGACAAAGAATTGGGCATGTAAAACTAGAAAAAAATGTAAAGGCTAACCCGGATAACGGAAATGTGGAAGTAGATACTCAAATGAGCACAAATGTTAGACTTTTCAATCAATGTTGACAAAACTAAATATATGCTATCCAAAACTGTAAACAAATTTATATGCGTAGATATAAAACTAAAATTGATACATCTCGGTAGAATGATTTTTCCTACAGCTCTAACCAGATTTGGACGGTAGTGATACTACTAAAGATAAAATGCCGAGATGTATTGGTGCTGCTCTTGATAGGATAGCACTTATGGTGCAATCCTTCAACTCTTTGTACATCAGGCAATTAAGGCTGCAAGGCTGCAATACCCTGAGTACAATTAAATGCAGTGCAGGGGCTGTTGTTTTCAGCAAATAAAACTGATTGCTCTCACCATTTGTTTGCTGTGAATTAGTTCTGGGGTGCCTGCATCCCCTAAGATACGTTCTCATTTGACTTTTTAAAAATCTCAACTAACAGCTAATCTAACCTTGAACTTTTGAAGACTTTTTGCCTGATTGTCCATGTCCTACTGGCGTTTGTGCTAATTTTACCAATGCCTATTTAAAAGCTCGATACGCGTCTTAGTAACAAATATGGATGAGGTGGGTGGTTAATTGCACTTAGGAGGCAGCAAAAGTAAAGTGTTGTGGGAATTCACGATAAAATTTCAAGTTTAAACAGTCTGAGAATTAACTACAGGCATAATAACGTTCGTCAGTATGCAGGAGACATTTCAGCCACATGCGAAACTGACTTTGAAATTCATAAAACTAACAGCACTAAGATAGCGATTGTGCTAAGGACATTGTTATTTACTCGAGAAATTAACAGCATTTACTATCTGAACACAAAATTTTGCAAGATTAAAGTTAGTAAAATATATTGCTGGTTTCAATTCCCTAAAGATGCGCTGGGAAGTTGTTGGGATGAGTACAAACTAAAGGTCCGCAAATCTAAATGGTTACTAATACCGCCCTTGTTGTATTTTTATGCTATCAACTTTCTCTCCAAAAGGCAAATCGTCTCTAACGCTTTTAGCATTGCATTTTTGCGGTTCGTCACGCTATACTGAAACACATATCTGGGTAAAATTATTTCCGCCATTACTGATAATTGAACAGATGCCGTATTTCAATTTCCTGCTAAGCACATTTGCTGCAAATGGTTGCAAATTCTCAATCGGCCTTAAATTTGGGACGTATTTAACAAATTGATGTTAATAACTCCTTGAACCATCAAGGGAATAAAGAGAGTTGGACAAATTTCCAACAATGGCCTCTGTCACCCAACGCTGATGACTTTGTTAAGAGACTGCAAGTATCAAAGCAGATAAATTAAAAATTCAAACCAAATTTACTGGGGTTATTATTTGTTGCCTCCAAAATGGTGTTCATAATAATATGAGGAATGCAATTTTGCCTGAGCGCTCTAAGGACACGGGGTCATGAGGCCATTGAGTGACATTTGGCATCTATGATTTTTCTCCACCATCCTCAATAAATCAAATGGGGCGTGATGAACTGCTTGTGGAGTAAGTTCAAGCAGTGTTTGTGAAAATTTAACCAATTGAGTACTCCTGATCTTCTGCACCGTTTCATATTCCGTCGAGTTTTATTTGCCTGTTTGATACCCTTACTGTACATTTAGACACTATACATGCACAACTTGGCTTTTTCATGTAAAGTCAATGCAAACCGGGCATAGTTAGTGGCTTATAAAGCACTTCTCACTTAATCTTCCCGTGATTTTACTAATCCTATTATGCATTATATCTATTATTGAGCACAAAGGGGACTGTGAAGTTTTAAGGCAAATTAGTGGAGGAGCAAGGGGTAAAAGTAATTTAACTTTTTAAGCCATAGCTAAAAAGTCTGTGGCCAAGAAGCCTCTACATAAATCTTAAAATACATGCACTGTGAAATCAAAATTTATTAACTGCTTTGAGCTTTTTTCTTTCCTTCTGCCTTAATCCATCTGCCTGAAATTCAATTTAAGTAGCAGAAAAATTCTACTGATTAAAGCAGAGCATTGCGGTACGTTTCTCTTCTCTGAAATAGGGCAAAAATAAAATGTAAGTCGAGCAGAATTTGGGCAATTTTACAGTCCCTCCATAATAAGGAACAAAATACCATTCGTGGATACTGAAAATTGAAGTAAAAGGCAGCCATCTAGAGACTCCTGCTGCCAATTAATTTAAGCAAGCATTTGTAATTATGTCTGAATGCAGAGTCAGATCAGTTTGCTTCTCAGTCTCCAGAAACACCTTCTTCGTCAAGGTGTCATCATTAACTGGGTTCATTTCTCTGTACACCCAAAATTATCAACAATAATGTTACTCCTAAATTGCATTGTCATCATAGGCATTTTAAAATATGGATGGTGGTTTCCACCAATTATATTGTCATCCCACATCTACGTTTTAGAGGTCATGCATAAAATAATGGGCACAACAACAAGTATAGACGAGGTCTCGGCTTCTCACTCTGTTCATTGGGTTCATTTACCAATTTTTACAGAGTATAATACCCGTACTCAGTACCAACCTATGTATATACTTGCTACCCATGGGAATTTCCTCCATAATCTGAAGTTCAAGCATCAAAATATAAAATCCTATAAACACCATTGTTCGAGGGGTATTATGAGAGAACCCAAAAAGGAGGAGTACAGTACTCCCAAAAGTCCCAAACATTATGCACGTAGGGTCTCACTATTATCATGTCATCGTTATTGTAGCGATTTAGTAAAGTCTGCTGATAGAGTGGTAACTAGGTTAAAATTTAGGTCTCGAGTATCTTCTAGCCTTCATTTCATAAATATTTAATTATTCTATCCACAAGTTTTCAGTGCTGTCTGGGTTTAACAAATTATTTTAGGTTGTGTGAAGAGTTGGCAATCACTCACCCGAACTTTGTTTTGGCCATGTAGTTCGATCACTGGTACAGCTTTCGTGACTTTACTGTTCATTTTCGCTAAATCAAATCTTTCTTAATTTTTTAAGAAGCTAGAGGACAGTCGATATGTTTAATTCTGTAATATATGCCTTTGCTAACGCTGTGCTGACTCTTAGAGCAAAACTTTCGACCTCATTGAAACCACATTACAGACCACAGCTCCGAGAGGGCTTCCGAATGGCTAGATCCACAGAATTGTTTTGCTTACCTGTACAAAAGTGATGGCTGGCCGATGTGACCAACTGTTATGTTCTCGGAATTTGGATGGGCAGTTTGGGCGTAGATACTGACTGAACCCTGTCCCTCCCATTCGCCAATTAGTCTAACAAACGTTTGTAGGGAGTGGTGGGTGGCGCTGTCCACTGCCACACAAAGGCTTATTTAGTTTACCGTGATCAGGTGATCATATAAATCCGTAGTTTGTTTAAAACTCATGGACCTAGCACGATCAAATGGTAGTCTCATTCACTAGCGTAGTCCTGAATGTCACAGCCTGACGCGATAAGAAAGCAGCTACAGTTAGTGTTGATTGCTTGTTTCCGTGTTAACGGTGAGCTAGATTTTGACGTTCAAGACCTTGTGAAGTATCAGTAGTTTCAGTCAATACTTGCCAACCGATCTTCAGAGATTAAAAGTCTTAGGCACCACTGTCACTTTCTTTTGGGCATAAAGTTTAATGAATTTATTGGTAACTACACTTCTTAACACAAATATGCAACGATGCATAACCGCTACGTTATTGTCCAATGCGTTGTAAGGAGAAATATATTTTAAACTAAGCATACATGTTGAATATACTACAATGACCTGCGTAGCGGGTGGCTCATTGTGAAATGCAGTATTGAGCTTGCAATTTCTGCAGCCCATGAGCATATGTACACCAGTACCTCAAAAAAGTAAATTTTGAGACAATTTAAATAGCAGAATTCTATTATCAAGTTGCTCAAAATCATACTTCGGATGCTGATGGAAAAGATGACTTGCGACGCTTTGCATAAGCGCATTCATTCCTAAACCATCAGGTAAACATTCCCATTGGGCAGACTAATGAGTTGCAGTTAACAACAGAGGAACTTTGAATAATTATGTTTACTTGCGCAAGGTCGTGTCTTCGTGTGTACTCCATCAAAGGCATTTCAGTCTATTTGAATTCTACGATGTGTAGTGCTGTATGTTAAGTTTCCTAGCTGAATTCAAGATATTATTTTTGTTTAACCATGGAGCATTAAACGCCATTTGGTGCTGCAAAATGATGATAGGGAGCAAATACTGGCTTGTGTTTCAGGCCATCAGCATGGATTACTCGTACTTGTTTCTTAAATCATCGACACAATTATTTGTTTCAAAGCTGCAATAAATTTGTAATTGCATTTAGTAAGTCGATCTAAATTGAAGAACACATACTCTATAATCATCTGAGATTTCATGAGGCATGTTAGTTGCTCAAAACTAGCTCAAATTTTTGTCTGTAATTTCAGCTGCGATTAATGAATGTGTTGACAATATGGACTGTATAATTTTAGTTACCGCTTTGCAGAAATTGTCTTCAAATATTGTGCCTGGGTAGTAATTCGCCTTATTCTAGCCAAAGTAGATACTCAAGGCTGGTAAATGCTAGGTGAACAGATATATGGACTGATGGGTAGATGAATAAGTCATACCTTTACGAAGTCTGTTATCTCCGAAGCCAGCTGTGCATTTTACACCAAGACGGGTTGAATATTTACTATCAAACTGAAAGTGAGCATTGGGAAGAGCACTGGTGACCTTGCTAATCTTTTCTTTTAACCAATACCCCTCAAAGAAAAACACTGGGTTATAAGCCTCTTGTAATGTTTGGCTGGGGTGTTATAATAACAGAATTCAGCCTGGATTTGGAATTAAGTCTCACAAAGGCAATTTGTTTAATCTCGAATCAAACGCATCAATGTTAGCAGACAAAAGTAAATGTTCAAAGGCGTCCTTACTGTAAGTCAAGCTAAGGGCACGCATCTCCATGAGCTACTTTTATTTTTAAATCCAGGCACTCAAATTTAAAAAAATGATTAACCACGTGTCAGCACCCATTAAATTGGAAAAGATTTTGGAGGCCATTTTCTGCTAAATCAAAGTCAACTTTGATAGAGACGAGTCATGTAATCTGTTGCATCCGCTGCCTGCGCACCTCCTTTGTGCCTTTCAGATGGTCGATGAGTGGTAAAATGGGCAAACTTTGTCATGACTGCCGAATGCTAGCTCGATACCTCACAATATCACTGAACATACAAAACAAATGCCTTATTAATACTGCCCTGCCACTTTGTAAAATGGAATACATCAACGTCAGGTTTCAAAGTGACTTCATTATACGTGTTCATGACAAATGCATGGCCATAATGCCAGGCAAAATTACGGTCTTAGCGACTGACTCACTGAGCACTTTTGCAATGGATATGCAAATGTTGCTGACTCGCGCATTCAAAAGATTGACCGCTCCCTTTTTGTAATAAAATATGAATTGCTCATTCAAGTTCTATTTTTGAGGAAAGATTCGCAGCATCATTCCAGACCATTTACTGCCTCAGATTAATAAAAAATATCGAAAATGTAGATAAAGTCTTCACTAGATTGTAATGCTGCTATTTTTTACACAAAGGCGGTTTTTGACTCCAATTCCACACTAGCCACGCCCCTCCAACTAAAGGCATTCACTAACAGAAGTCATAAAATGCTGAGATGAAGACAAACCACGTAAGCTTCATGACAACTTTGTTAGTAAAGCCCAATCCTGGTTTAGGGAAAATAAAGCAGGCATTTGGAAAGGTGTTCGAAGCCATTTTCCTTATTTCAATTGACCTAAGTAAATTTGCCTGCAAAGATATAGAGACGTGAAAGATGTTAGCAAATTAATGGAGAAGAAAATATGCTCACATAATATCCCGAAATATGAGTGTCTGTGGTCAAAACGGTTTTTCAGCCCTCGTGGAATGCAGCGAGACGTACTTTACTTAAATCGCTAGGGATAAGGTCCGATTTTCAGGGCAGCAGGTTGCATCTTGATTGAGCAGCAGTAAAAATTGCCCGAGGCGGCGATACACTTCCAAATGCAACAATAATCCCTCGTTGTTGAGTCTACATATTCTCTTGCAGAGAATAGGAGTCGTACTTCAGATTAGCTGCTGGCGACGTGTTTAGAAAATAAGTGTCATAAAGCCTCTGTTGACTTCTACGTGTCCACTTTGTGATTGAACACATGCGCGGCATGCATGTGACATAATGCAGGACGCAATACTTGAGAACGCAAAGAGCGTAGAGGAAGAAAGAGGAAGCAGTCAACAAGGAGGGGTTGGAGGGGTCATGCGAAAGTCGGAGAAGCCATGTGACGTGCTTTTCCCCCATTAGCATTTACAAGAGCAGGAGGATACGCCTCTACTCATGTGGTCTGGAGTTCAGTGGAGTTGATTCGTGTTGTTTACTGAAGTTAAAATACTTCAGAAGTCTTAAAGTGGCTGTGTGACAATCAAATGTGGAAGAGTAAATTCACGAAAATAATAAATCCCTCGCATGCATCAAAATCAAACCAACTTCCCCCACTATCGCAACAGCAAATGGTCTAACCCATTAACTTCATAAATAATCTAAACAACTTTTCTGTTTTATGCTCCACAACGCTTTTAATTCAATGTTGTCACGCAATCACCACATTCGTCAACGTCCAATCCAATCGAATTCGTACATCAAAAAGAGGCGTTAACATTACTTTCAATAAGTTGCACACGCCTTGGCACTTCCTTCATTTCTTAGTGAATTTTTTACAAAGAGCGATGCTACTAGTCGCCTTCCTGATCACCTTGACTATCTGTGACGTCTGCAGTGCGGAAAATGGGGATTTGTCAAATAGACGGGATCTCCTCACCATCTACACCCTCACTTCTGAGCGTGTCTGTTCGCCCGAGATGATACTCTTCAACTTCACTCACAGTGTTGCTGCAGCTGTACGCTACGCGCACTCAGTGATGTCAGCGAACAACGAGACACTTTTCGGTACTGTTTGGAAGCATGAATGGGTGCCTGGCTGCTCGATGCAGGAGGCATCGAGAGCATGCAAAATGTACAGACTCCTGCAAAATTTACAGGTTGGTTGTGGCACGCTTTAACTTTCTCGTGTAAAGTTAAAACCCATGCTCATATAATTCAGTATAAGTGCAAGTCGCATGAATGTTCCAAGCGGAACAGACTAACATCTTATTTATAAGAGTATTTGTCCTGGCAGACCGCAAATTCTTTCAATTTTGCCATGCTCATAGCAGCAATGCAATGAAACCACATGCACTGCTTAGATTCAGAGGAGGCTACACACTAGTAATTTGAGTTCGCTTTATTTCTATCGCCTTTGTATAGCATTGTCAAATGCTGCAAATCAAGAAAAGCTGATATGCATTACCATCTGAGGCATAGTATGGCTGTGGATATGGGTGAGACAGTATCCTTAGTCATAGCCCTTTCCTCCTTTCCTCTTTTCAATAGAAATCCTTTCGAGTGTCAGTTTCTCCCAGGCATCATGAAGTATGATGTTTTACGTTGTCTTGTAACACAATGATCATTAATTTCCCCCCTCCCCTAGTTAAGTAGAGTGGGAGGTCTGCTCCTTTTCACAAGAGGATTTAGTGTTTCCTTCATGTATTTAGGGGGCTAAAACTCAGGTGTACTTGGTGCTCGATCTTCGTAAGGTGCACCTTTTGAGAACTAGCATTCCCATGTGGGCGTGCTTAGCAAATGTGTCAGAGCAATGATCATATCTTAAGACAACGCTGTAGCTCAGTCAGTCGGTTGTCAATCAGGAGTAAACAACTCCACCTCAATCGCGCGTCAAATTGATTTGGTAGTCCTCGTAGCTCCTCCATCGTCATTTGTTAATGCAAGACATGTTATGTGCACCATGGATATAATGCATGGTCTTTTTGCCTTCCCAACTCAAACTTTGTTCCCAACTGGCACATTGCGGCTGTTAACAGTAAACATGCATTTTCATCACCACTCAATGTAAACAGCCCTGTGCTTCATGTGCTGTCTCCCAGTTACCTTTCCAGTCACTCTAGTTATGTGTCAACAGCAACAAACGGTGTAAAATGCGTGGCCGGTAGCAACGTGAACGAGATGTATTAGCCGATATCACCCAGTTCATGACAGTGCATTGTTGTAAAAGTGGGGGTGCATACGACTACTCCTCCAAACGGAATGCACAAAACAGGCTGAGAATGACATTTCTACTACACTTGTGGATTGGATTTAAGTGTGAACCTTTAGAGTAGGCAAGCGCAAATCCCTTACACACAAATTTTACTCACGATTTGTGATATGAGTGAGACAAAGCATTAGAATGTATAGTTAATTTTGCCGTTTTTATGACAAATAAAATCATCTATGTTATATGAGATGTTTATGCCTTCATTCGTAGATTTTTGGCATTGATGCATGATTAACCCATTTTCGACGGCCTTATTCTCACAATGTTTGTTAAATTTATTTTGTGAGACACCTCTTGTGTTCATGTCTTCTTGCCATAGCGACAGAAAATCGTGTCACTGCAACAAATAGCAGAGAAAATGATTTAGAATAATCCTGCATAAATCGCTGATGAAGTGCATTTAAAACAACTAGAAAGAAGTATCGTTAAAACTTTAGAAAACTGCATCAAATTCGACAGGATTCAGCGTGTTATTAGGACCGCCACTAGCTAGCGACTGCAATTTAGTGAACGAGTGGATCAATCTCGGAGATCCGAATGCAACACAACGAGTTCAACTCTACCAAATCTCCTACTACTGCCACATATTTTCCTCCTACTCTACCTTTTCCAACCGCCTTGCCGACAATAGTTGCCATTCGCCCACTCCACCTGTCGCTGCGGTCTCTGTGACAGTCCAGCACAGGGCCATTCTGCAAGGCATTATTGCCTATCTCCTCAATAAGGGCTGGAAACGCATTGCACTCTTCTATGATATGCGTGCCACCAACTTCGACATTCCTGAGATGTTGACTACGACTCCATTATCACTTCCTCTCTCACGAAGTAGGAAAAAAGTGCTTCATTTGCTAACCAGTGAAGGCATTACATCATCGACAAATTTTGCCAGTTTATTAGAGCCATTAGAAGATGATGTAGATGGTAAGCAACTACTTTTCAATGTATTGAGGGGATTGTTCTAGTCATTGACTTTATAAATCTTCCTCTTAAGCCGCACTGATACTAGCCAGGCCGTCACTGGCAGTAGAATTCGTGGTCAGCATACAAAACTTGACGAAAATTAAACAAGGGAGGATAGCACTCATCCAGGTGGACCCCACGGATATGCTCACCTACGATTCTTTGCGTGTATGGAGATCTCTGTTGTCCAAAACTGCACCCACAATGGCTGCCGGTCGTTCGCTCATCATTCTTACTGCATTACCTAAGGGAACAGTATACAACGAGGATTCAATAACATATAAGGAGGTAATTTGTACCACAGTTGACACTAGTCATACACTCATTAGATGATTGTACCCATATTTGGGGTGATAATCTCGTATTTTTGTCATTGACTTCACCACCGTCCCGACTTATGTGTTAGATGCATCCACTGGATTGGACTATTAATGGAGCTGTTTTCTGTCCTTCTTTATAGCTAGCTTTTGTGTGCGAAGTTTATCAAGAATTGCTAAGGCAAGCCCTATAATGAGCATAATCTAGAAAATTTTAGAACAAATCAAAAGGAGTGAAATCCCTGTTTGAGTAGATGAGGTTCAGCAATTTCAGCATTTGTTTTTCTGACAAGTATGAACCCACAAATGCCATCTTCTTCGGTGACCTCAATGTACTCCCACTGCGGTCGTACTGGTACACCCTTAGGCACAAGTGGGGGCCATTCTCGGTTCAGAGGGAATGAAAGTCTACAAATGCCCAAAGTTCTACATGGCCTACATGTGTACATAGGTGCATAAACCTTAGGTATATGTACGGGATTTTCGGTGCAGTGATTGTTACATTTTCTTTTCTGCAGCAAATAAATCTATCGGTGGCCAGCGCGGCAGCACTTGCAATGCAATTGGTTCAAATGCACCTTCAAGAGGGTGGCGGCAATATTGGCCCATTCAGTAATCTCTTTCTACCATTGAGCACCCTCGCACACATCCACATACCCACACTGCCCTCCATTACTTTTCACTACCAAACTCACAATGGTGATATCTCGCAGGGCATATTTGATCTCTTTCTCTTCTCCCTCAAACCTAACCTCACCGAGTCAGCTGATATTGTAAACAAATTGGAAAAATATGCCGATATCTTCAATCTCATTGATATCATTCATTATCCACAGCTGCTGCCTCAATGGAGGGGTAGGATGGATTGGCCAGGTGATGGATGGGGACCTCGACGCGCATACTGCTTAGTTGCGACTTGTGAATTTGGTATGTGATAAGAGCAAATTTAACCCTGTGTTAAACTTTTCTGCTCCTTCTTTTAGATCTAATAAAAGTTATCCTACTGATAAATTTACTTGGAGTGCTCAATGCTGGTCTCATATATTTGTGTATTCTGCTCATCAACAGGTAGACCAAATTGTGCATCCTCGTTAATGAAGTTATTTTAGAGGAATTATATGCAAGAAAAAACGCCTCATTTCCATCAAACTCGTTTTTCTGGAGAATGAATTCGTATTTGAAGATCATGATAGAAAAGTGGCAGCTGAGAGCAGCAATACCGTGAGATTGTTTTTTTGGCAAAAATAAGTAGTATGCAAACTTTTGCAGCTGCAAATATCACTTTTCTATTTCCCCATGACTTTCAGTCTCGGCGAAACACTCAGTCACAGGCGGATATGGTACCGAATTTGGATGCACCCACTTCTTTCCATGCACTAATATCTACTGCTCAAGTTCCACTTGCAGCATCGAGTTTAAACGAAGAGGCTTTGCCAAGCGTAAAGAAGAGAAGTATTGCTTGGCTAAACGTACGTTTTGTCCATATCAACAATGAAAGCTGTTATGCAGAGACTAATTGCTTCAAGCCTAGTTAAGCATCACAAAGGGGACAAATGCCATTAAACATTAAATAAAAGAGAAATATGATGTCGCATTTTAATGGAAGAAATATTTGGTTATCCAAGATATTTGAGTAGTCCCAGGAACAAACTGCTTTGCCTGCAAGAGGTGTAGGCCTTCGCTACAGGCGCGTAAGCATTCTACTATGCAGAAGTCGTCTTGTTTAAAACCTGGTCCTTTGCTCAGTTACACAGTTCACGAACGACATCTAAGCACTCCACTACTAACACAGGCTCCCCTCCTCCATTTCCATACGCAAAAACAGTTAAACAATTATATTCTAGCACCGAAAGAACTCATTTGACTCTTACAATGAGGAATAGGCAGCGCATAGATACTGCCCTTCTTCCAATGCAAACATTTTGACCACTCTGTTTTCGGGCCCACCTTTCAACCGAATCGATCAGACAGACCTTAGCCGTAGTTATTGTTTGATTTTCAGCATGTGAACTCTAGATCTTTCAGTCTATCATATACTCACATTTCCACACTCATCCACGCACACAAGCACCCACACGCCAGGCAAGGAAAGGATAGTCAAGTAAGTGTGGAGTGATTAGGAGGAACTTGGGAGTGCTGGATGGGCGGTGAGTTCATCGCCCAAGGATGATAATAGCCATCTGCGTTTGCTTAATGGAAGTTGTCCATAAAAACGACCTTTTGCCTAGATGTTTATGGGAAAGTAGCTTCATTCTCCTCGATCTTTAAAGGTTATTGTGTTTAACATGTCACTACCACAATTAATAACAATCAACTTATCTTTCCCCACTTCTTATACAGTGTATGGAAGGGATTGAATGCCTGTGTCATTTGTGCAATCGGTACTGCTCATTCCACCGCAGTCGTGATCTATTCCAAAATAGTCGATAGAATGCCAAGTAACTGTGCAGTTGCCAACTGCAAGTATCACTACAATGCTCGAATACTGCTCCCTTTGAAGATAAGTTTTAATAGTTTTTGGTAATTCTTTTGCTTTGCTTGTGCTCTAGGGTGTTCAAGTCTACGTTAAGCAATTGGGCCTACCTCGCGTTGTACTGCGCTCCAAGTTAATTGAGTACCTTGCAGGACTGCGAGAAATTAGACACGAAAACATCAACGCTTTCATGGGATGCTGTGTGACACCGGATTCCTTTAGTCTCGTTTTTGAATACTGCCATCGTGGATGCCTTCAGGTGATAACACACGACTGCTTTAATTTATCCTGCATGAAGTACCCATCCAGATGGTTGCTCTCATTCGCAGCTTAGACTTTCAAAACAATATTACTATCAACGATTTGCCGACACGTTTGAGCAGACCGGAGCAGGAGGTGAGAGGGCATGACCGCTAGGTGAATTTACAGTATTCAATAGGCATGTAGTACACTTAAAGTCTATCCAGCGGTGATATAATATTAGACATGGAAATGGGAAGGTCTTTAAAGAATTAAAATAGGAACTTTTTCTGACGCCCTCGATATTCTCATAAATGAGTTTTCCAACGACGCGCAGGATTGCTGTGTTTATTCTCTGCTGCAGAATATTGGAGGTAAGTGCTCATGTGATTGCTTAAAGCAGATTTTTCTAATGGTGATGTTCACCAATCGGGGGAGTATTATTAGAGGAAATAGACGAAGCAGTGTCTTCTTCCCTTCATCCTTACCTGCCCTATTTCAAAGCGTGGCTTTTTACCTGTCTGTCTGTTTCTTATGAAACAACTAGCTTAATATGGATTCAAATAGGTGAACATTAATGCCGTATTTTTTAGTGGTAAACGGCCACGTAAAGTTTCACTTTAATTGCGAAAATGCACATTCTAACAAAACTTGGTGCATCTCGGAATCTGCTAATATTTTGCCAGAACTGAACTGCTTAAATTAATTCCGATTAGTTTCATGTTTCCATCTCATGCCTCCAAATGCTGCACAGGAGACTAGACGCAAACTGGGCTTCTTTGCTCTGTAGTTGAGTAACTGTTTGCTCTTAAATCAGACGTGTTCCAACCATATGCGTCAGTTATTATCCTCACGACACATCATATGCAATGATACACTGGGTGCTTTCATTTGTGTTCCATGCTGCATGCGCAAGTAACCTCGCTTTCTTTATTTTGACATTACCGATGATTACTTTTTGAAAAGATGTTTTACAAGGGCCTAAAAAAGGGCATTGTGCGGGCTCATTGATTACTGTGTTTCATATACAGGATGTGATAAATAACAAAAGCATCCCATTTGACTGGGATTTCAAGCTCTCCCTCATGACTGACTTTGTTCGGGTGAGTAAACGTTGCCTCATATCATTAAAACCGTCTTCTGATTTAATGTGTAAACCTATTCAATTGGATGCATAAGGGGATGGAATACCTGCACAGCACGAGTCTCAAAGCTCACGGAAGGCTGAAATCGACCAATTGTGTTGTCAGTGGTCGGTGGGTCTTGAAGATCACCGATTTTGGCATTCCCAATATCTACAACTTAACAGGCAATTGTCCTACAATCAAACTCGAAGGTATGCTGCATTTAGTGCGTTCTGCAACTATTCCGTATGCCTAGATAAATTATGGACTTCGCCGGAGCTGCTACGCGATGAGACAGCGGCTTTATTTGGAACCAGGCAGGGAGACGTCTATGCATTCGCCATAATAATGCACGAAGTCTTCTATCAGACAAAACCATATGGACTCGAAGACATTCCAGCGGCTAAAATTCTAGAACGCATCTTGGGTGAAGAAAAGCCTCCTTTTCGCCCACAGGTGATTATATCTTCCCACTGCAACATGTCGCCACGTTAACTGAGTGATATCGTGCAGGCAGGAAAAAGCAAGTTATTCACAGCCTTCACTCAGATTGATCAGATATATTTGGCATTTTAGCAGCACTCATGTCAATCTTTGGGAAGGCACAAAGTGATGATGCCTCCTCTCGCCATCGGGTTGAACTCATAGACTAAATTTATCGAAGTAAATTTGCCGTCTGAGTCAGCAGTGCAGCGTAGATTTATCGAAGATGCTCTAAAACAATTAACCCACGTGACGTGAATTGAGCTTGGCAGTACTAACATGGAGGCCTGTTTGCGAGAGCCCGCTAGGACTCGTATAACCCCATGTTGATCCACGCCCCTCTTGATGGCGAATTCCCCTGTTATCACTGCTCTCTTTTACACTTCAGCTTCTCGAAAGAGACGTGCCACTGGCTTACAGAAACATTCTTGAACGAGCATGGTTGGAAAATCCTAGTCTAAGACCAACGTTCACGGAGCTAAATGAAGAGATTCAACGACTGACTAAGAAAAAGTAGGTTCGAGAGATATATTACCCTGTTGTCCACTTTCGCAAGAAAAATGAATGTCGTAGAGCACATGTTCAAAATGATGGAGAGCTACTCAAGTCAGCTGGAAGAACAAGTAAAAGCTCGCATGAATGAACTGGAGATGGAGAAGAAGAAAAAGGAACTTCTCATCTGCCGCATGCTGCCTCCGTAAGTCCCCAGTCAATTCGATTTCCACCAGTCAGATCAGGGAACTTCGCGACATTCACTGTATACTCTCTGGTTGGAAGTATTAGCTGTTAGGAGCTAAGATGTTTACTTTATTGGTGCAGAATCACATAACTTTGAGCTTTGAAAAGTCGCTGAGCGGAAAGCTGGCCTAAATTTGGAATTGTAGAGTTGTTGCAGAGGCGCTGAAGGCAGGTGCTGCAGTGGCACCCGAGACCTACGATGAGGCGTCCATCTATATCAGTGACATCGTTGGATTTACGACCATTTCTGCAATGTCCACTCCATTACAGGTTGTTGATTTTCTGAACGACTTGTATACGCTGTTTGACAAGACAATCGCAAACTACGACGTCTACAAGGTGGGTTTGATCCAAGACGCCTCTATGTATTTCTAAGAGAGATTTTTTGATTTCCACTGCAATATCTTAGACGTCGATTTTTCGCAATTGTTGATCAGATACGAGCGGTTTTTTTTTGCTTAATGGTTTTGATGAGATCGGTAACATCGTCTGAAAACACGGCATGACAATTATTGGTGCAAATTATAAAAAGGATGCTTTTGACTTGCCCAGACCCACTAAGGTAAAAGGAGTATCATTTTTAATCACTTGTTTACTTGTTCAGGCAAATTCGACGTCAGCTTTGTCTACTGCTTTAAATAGCTCATTGAACGAATGTATGATTGAAGTAGTGGAATTTCTGCCAAACTACACAGGAAATGCTATGAGTCGGATTGTTTTCCTGCAGCATTAAAGTGTCTATTCATCCTTCTAGTTATTCATCACTTCTAATGACCCACTTGCATCTCTCTCTCTCTTGCGCTTACAATTTACACTATTCGATGTTAGTATTTTGCACTGTGTAGGTAGAAACAATAGGAGACGCCTACATGGTGGCTTCGGGACTGCCACTTCGGAATGGACGACGCCACGCAGGTGAGGTGGCCACAATGGCTCTCGACCTCCTTAGTGCCTGTGGCACTTTCACCATTAAGCACCTACCGGAGGTGCCCTTGAGGCTACGCATCGGTCTACACAGCGGTTAGTTAGATGCATACCTGAGCTACTTCTATCCTAACTCATACATCCAAGATACATATTGTGGCGTGCAAATGAACGTCAACGGATTTGGCTCAAGACCCCTGATGCAAGAGGAATTCTGTGGATGAGCTTTAAGGTGTCACCGTAGCTAGCAATCAGACCTACACATAATGGCTTTGCAGCAGCGCCCATACTATACCACTTAGGTCACACAAGTGTAATGATCCCAACCTTCCTTTCAAGAATCAAACTTTAACATTGATTTCATTTTGTTGCAATTGATGCATCATTAAACACCTGATACACGTTGGTATTTTTTAAGCAATTTCGAATTACCGACAAATTAGCAGGCAAAGTGATTCGAGGGATAAACAGTTTAAGCTAAGTGGCTCAATTACCACCTTTAAGTGGAATGATCAAATCTATGAGTTTACGCGCATAATTGTATTGTGAAGATGTCTTGCTTGGTTTTTAGGACCTTGTGTTGCTGGTGTCGTGGGGCTCACTATGCCTCGTTATTGTCTCTTTGGTGATACCGTTAATCAAGCACTACAAATGGAGTCTTCTGGAGCTGGTTAGTGAGCCCTTGCTTCTTCTGCTTACCGTTCGACATAATCTCAACGTCAGTTGTTATTGCCCTAGCCTTCAGAATACACATCAGTGAGCACATGAAGGAAATATTGGATGAAATCGGGGGCTACCATGTTGAGTATCGCGGTTCAATCGAATTTGAAGGTGGTATGGAGATAACGAGCTATTGGCTCATTAATAGCGACAATTTTCACAGGCCTTTACCTGAGCCACCTCCACTAATCACGTAAGTATTTTTTAGTTGCTAACCTGTTGAAATGGCTTTAATTTGATCTTCATGAGATTTATTGTTAATGGCGAGACATTGCTGGAGGTGTCACTTAATTGGTTGCGTAAAATTTGTTAAACTAGATGCGAATGTAGCCAGGAAACGAATTAATTAGTTGCAGCGAAATGGCAGAGTATTCCATTACTCACAATCACTAGGACTGGATGCAAAACTGCTGTTTACTGACCTGAATTTCCTGTCCGTTGAGTTGACCCGCCTAAATGGGACTAATGGGTGTAGAATGACTATGGTAGAATACCAGTTGATAGAGAGTGTTAGAATGTGATACTTGTATGCAGCCCGCTTCTGGCCCTGAGAAGTCTTTGCCTGTACTGATGTAAACAAAGTAGATTTGTTAAGTAACAGAAGGTCCAATATCAGACAGTTGATAAGGTGGGTGTGAAAAATTTGATAAGATGAATTGAGCATGCAAGAAATGATAATGTAAAACTAAAAAATATTAGGTGTAAAATAAAATGCAAAATGTAAAGTTAGATCTTGAGAGCGAAACGTTAAATTGCTTACCCACGAATAGTTTGCATCCATGAGAATATTCCAAACATCCATTTTAAATAGCGTAGGCTTTAAAATTATTCCAATTGCAATTATCTGCAAGCAAGTCTTGGTAGTGATGCGTACAGGTGTTCTCTATTTTGAGCCTTTTTTGGAAATTCTTATGCAAGGCTTAGAAAATTTTGACCTACGATTATAGTCAATCAACACAGCGTAATGTTATGTATGCATTTTTTCTGTCTTGCAGTGGAGGAACCCATGGGTAAGTCACGTACACAATGTCGTCAATAATCTTTCACTATTTTGTGTTTGCGTTCTTACCCCTCTATCCCAGTGGAAATTCTTGTTATGTAGCCTCAGTTTAAGTGCAGGAATTTCCAATAAAATTACTAAGAAGCCGCATTTCCATCCCCCACACTCTGCAGAAAACATGGTTTTGATGACTATCTAGTGTCTTTACACGTGACGGGGCAGGACTGGTATCAATTAATTCCTGAGCGTCTGTGGAAGCTTGGAACAGACCTACCTCAGTCCATCTTTATTTACAACTCACCTATCTTTCCTGACCCTCTGCCCGATATTTAGCTTGCGGTCGTTCAACAGTTCAGTACAAATACCAAGAAAACGCGCCTTTAATCACCTGAAGAATAAGCATCACAGGAGTAAGGAGGATGGAAATGTGGACGAGGAAGTATCACCTTTCCTATTTCTCTTCCTCCAATGTAGATGTAGCATACAGTCATGCGGAATGAGGCAGGCGATCCTGCATTGGCTAGTGACACCAATAATAGGACTGATCTACCAGTCGTGCTGGTGCCTTCTGCTTCTCGGAAATAAAACATTTTTGAACATGATCTGGTTGCATCGATTGGATCCACCTAAGTCGCAATTGGTGTTCGTTCTTTAGGGTCTGTAGCCAACATCACACCCTACATGCACACACCTGTTAACACAAGGAATTCACAGTTTAGTGCGTATCATAGTGTAGTTAATACAACCTTCCAATAACAACTATTCTATCTGTTCGCTTAAACGATGTAGCAGTGCAAAGCCTATTTCTCATTACTAGTCTGTGGTGCGGTCAGATGTTGGTGACTAGACTATCTTTAGCCTTCTAGGCCTTCTAGTATTGGTTGGAGAAGTAAAGCGTGTCGAATTAATAGTCTTTGAATGTTCTCCCTTGTCATTCGCTAATTCACAGCAAACAGGTTTGATGCATTTCTTTAGTTGTTTTCACGACCGTTTATTCCCGATGAATGTAGATTTTGAAGAAACACATCATCATCGTCACCAAGTTTTCTATTGGTTAATGCTGCTCTTCGCAGGTTATTGCCGCTTTGATTGAGGGCGTAAATGGGAGTTTGCAAAATATTATGATGAGAATAAGGAGTATTCCTGGCCCTAATACATCATTGCTATTGGAAATGTATCGTCAATATTCAAATTTGTGAATCACAGCAAGTTGTAGCATGATATTTTACCGCTATTTCTTAAGGAGTTGTTAAGGAATTGTCAGACCAGCAACTGATTTGAGTTCGTTTCGTAAAGTAAGCAAGATCCTTTGGTTGTAATGAACACTTCATGGTATGTGACACAGGTGAGTACTGCTGGGCTGTTTACAACCACAAAGTATGCTGCTTCACGGTTGTCTAGTTGCCTAAATTCCTGGCATTCGTGGAAGTTTTGGATTGGTGCCCCCTAGAAGCTCCACCAGTTAGTTAATATCGCACGCAGGTAGACATTAAATGTGCTAATGATCCTGCATGACTAGGAATATTACAACTTGACCATTTTTTGGTCCTAATTAAAACAGTATTCACGTCCACAGGGGTCGTACGTTTAGCTCATCCAAATCGGCTAGCATGGAAGACTTCTGCATTGAAGAATGTCCATCACTCACATATTCTGATTTAGCACTCGACAGAACAGAAGCACATCCACGCAAATGCCAGTCCATACCAACAACCGTACAGACAAACTGTCTCGTAACCTGACCAACATGGCATAATATTACCTCACATACAATTGACAACTTTGTCTATTTTAGGTTGGCCTGTGTCTATCCTGAAGCGGCTAAAATACCCTTCTAAGTTCAATATTTACCAAGACAAAGTGGAATTTGCATTTTACTTAGTTGTCATTTTTTAATCATGTAATGTAGTTAAATCTCAAAATCTTAATAAATTTAAGCTACCTTTTGGTCGTTGCTTTTATCTATCACGAAATAAATGCTCATTATTTTATGCAGTCAAGTAATCATTCCCATTTCAACCATTTTGCCTTAAACTGACAAAGGCAGCAGATCTGTCTAGTGCTACTGATAAGCAATCTGCCTTTCATAACAACAATCGACATCATAGAACGGGTGAACTATGGAATAGCGCTGTCTGGCCCAAATGTGGAGGTCAATCTATCTTAGGCGCGTCTCCCTTTCTGATATCCACCATGAAAAAGGTAATGCTTGTGGCAGGCTTTAGGATCATATATCTTCAAATGGGTTCCTGCAGTCGCCTTTTCAGAACACTTCTCCTGACATAATCAACTTGTTCTTTACCGGATTTGTGCCTGACTAACTTCTACTATGGTTAGTAGGAGAAGCGTTCCACTGAAAATGTGCATGCGAAATTCATTCAACAAGATTTACTAGGAATAGGCACACATAATTATTTGTAAACTACATTATTAAGTTCGAATTTGCCCATTATTTCCTTACTTACTGTGTCTAGACATGACCAGACCCGCTTAAGCATCAGCTCTCAGCTGGGATTACACCCGATTTACATTTGAAGACGTCATGCGGATTAGAAGGGTGAATATCAGCAGCATAGTTGACAGGTACACGGCTTGATGACACGTTGAAGAAGAATTGCAGAAGGCTTGCGTAGTTGAATACAGTAGTAAAATATGGAGAAATTGGCTACAAATTATTCAATAGGGGTTAGTCGACGTCCTTAGCCTTAATTTCTCTCTCTCATCAATGGGCTTGTCCCTTTTAATTAGATGCCAAAAGTAATTAGGTAGACCACAGTCAACCGTGGCACAGGACCATGATCAAAATATTTAGCTTTCCTCACAGAAGAAGGGTCTGTTCTCGGAAGCCCAACTTAATAGTTTATATGAGAGTTCCCATATCTGGATGCTTATTAGATGAGCTCTTAATATCAGGTTTTTGCATACATATACTTCAAGTGTAAGAGAAACAAACAGCCTGCCAAAGTTTATACTTTAGATGACTTTTTACCAAAGATTATTACTGCTCTATTAAAGGAGAGAGGACCAGAGGCTATGAAGTTTGCTAATAAAAAGGCTTAGCTAGATGTCACCTTACAAATACGCACAAACATCACCACCGTTGTAGCGTCCCGAGCCTCTTTGAAGACGAAAGAAGACACAATACTCGGACAGAGAATATATTCAGCACAGGGAAGGTGGCTGAGCTGTTGGCATGGCCCAAAAGGCCAGCATACCCAGCGAGGTACAAGGGGGCTTATTCAAAGTACAAAAATGGCAGCTCACTAGTACCGAGGGATAAACCACTATCGTATTACAATAGAAATGGCGTCTAATAATATGAATGCAAATCCATTAATTAGAAACAGTCTAGCTTTATTAATGTGATATATCAAGTGTCAATTTCTGCCAAATAAGTGATTTTCCAAAACCATTTCTTTTTTGGCCTTACGCTTGTCTTATATTTCGAAACTACGCAAACGTTACCACTATTCAAAGTCCATTTCATCACCATTTCCACGGACATGATAAACGTTAGCAAAGATATTTCTAGTGCAGACTTGCAAATGCTGTATGTCACATCTTCCCTTCACAGTCCACGCATTACCTCAATAAAACAGCTTCCGCAAACTTATAAGCAGGATCAACTTGGGCAAGACTGTCAATAAAAGCGTCAGGTTTTTCCATCAAATTCTCTCGTTTGCATCTTTATGTGAATAAGTAAGTCAAGAGACCTACGTACGCTGGTGGCAGCTTGCATAACAAGGAAATATGTGAGTCCAACATCCAAAACAAGCAAAAGGAGATGGTTGCCAGGACCCAAACGAATCTATACCTTAAGGCAATACAAGCTAGCATAAAGCCGCTACTATTAGGAAAGCAAAGAAGTAGCAAAAGCAGAGGCAGACATTCAAATGTTGTTGTAACATAAGCAGGAAACATAAGTAAATGAAGTCTACCGACTTTACCGAGACAAACCTGTTAATGATACAGCCGGGTATAATAATCAGTTTGACACCAAGTTTTGGTGATTAAATACCACCAAAGGGTATAAACAACCGTGAGATGCCAAAGCTGCGGCAGAGATCCAAACAACCAGTCAATTATAAAAGTGGGAGTCAATATACTTCGCGACATACATGACAGGGTAGGGAGTCATGTTCCCTATTGTGAACATACATATATACACTATACACTATGTATCGTATCTTTGTTCACCTTTATGCAGAGCGTAAAACTGAATTTCTTCCTCATGCATATCCCTTCATACTGAGGTGGAATGAACTGGCCTCTAATTGGATAGCCTTAATCCGATGTCAGGATAGGTCGTTTAATGATGTAAAAACTAATTAGATTCGCCAGCGCTAACCAATACTAGAGCCCTACATTGCACCAATCAAAACGTGCCTTCGGAGGACAAAACGTTTTCGCCAATGCTGGGTGTCGAAACGATTAGTGCACATTCGACTTTAAAAGCACATTTAGGTGCGTGATTCTGTCGCAGAGAACCCGATGACACGATAATAGTGGAAATTCAACAGAAGCAGTTAAATGCGCAATTACAAAAGCACTTAGTGTCTCTAAGTTTTCCCCTCATGAACATGTAGTCCTCAATTGCAAAAATGTGTTGCAGCGTAGAACTAAATTTCCTTTTAAGTGGGGCAAAATTCTCACCTCTAATTAATGAAGTGATCTATTTTGTCTGGCATCCTTAGTCTCCACGACTCGCACTTCTTTTGACAAAATGACCCTAAGATAATGTGCATAGCCTTTTAAACTTTCTTATTTCCTTTAGTATCGTTTATTAAGACAGCCAACAAATGCACATTCTCAGAGTTCATTCTAAATAGTAAAACTCATGAGCCTTTATTATTGGTAAAACGACCTTTTCCCTATCATGCTTGATTAGATTCAAACATTCCATCTACCGTGATACTTAGCCCTCATAGGTTTACACCA